TGTATATTATTATTACGTTTTATATATTATTATATTTTTTATTTATTTATACATCTCGAGCAATTTCCACCAAACTTGGTACACAGATGGCTTACCCTCTGGAAACAAATACTGTGGGAGTAAGATAACCCTAACACCCCTGGTGGGGGTGGGATTGCCTTAAAATGGCTTCTGCCATGGTAACAGCTTCGCAGGGCTCCCTCTTGTGGAGGAATACAGGAATCGCGATGCTGCGCGAAAGACAGGACAACAGCGTGAGTCCTGACTATACAGGGTTTTCCTGTCTAATACAGGATTGGGATAAATAAATACCTGGGCAACGTCGGGTTATCGACTAGTTTTACATATAACAGAGAATGTCCCTGGCGATTCTCAGTCAGCCAGGTCAATGGTTGTCCCAAAGATGCTTTTTCAGGAGGCAACTGGACTTTCTTGTTTTTCTTTGAAGACGTTTCGCTTCTCTTCTAAGAAGGTTCTTCTGCTCTGGCTTCCATTCCCCACCATCCAATCAGAGCTCATCTTACCCGCCATCGAGCCCAACACGTCTGCGGTTAAGCGATTGCGTTTTGCCACGTTTCCGACCTTTCTTGCGTCTGTTGTTAAAGGGAATTGTTGCGGTGGATAAGTCAGCGAACTCGTGGTTAAGCGAATCTGGCTTTTCCCCCTCCCCTTGACTTCGCTCGTCAAGAAGGTCGCAAAAGGGGATCCCATGATCTTGGGACACTGCGACTGTCCTAAATAGGAACCAGTGGCTGGGCGAATTTTGATCCCATGATTATAGGGTCCATAGGTTCCCTTTTTAAACACTGTGTTCCCAGCTGCAGCTAATGAAGAAAATCAGGGCCCTTTCCTCCCCCGTAAGCCATGCCACCCACATTGCTCTCTTCTCCATTCCTCCCTGCATGCACTAGGATGAAGAGGGGGTTGGCCTGGGTCTTCCTCTGAACTCCCTCTCCCTTGTTCTCCCTCTCCCCTGCTCTGCCCGGCCGGACTTTGCCCTTCCCCAGTTTCCTCCACAGCCAACGGAATCACACTCCTGCTCCCTGTCAGCTGTTCAGATTCAGACTCCGACAGGGGCATGACAGATTTTCCCAAAGTGGTGCGAACCGGCTGAATCCCACCACTGATTGTAAGTCAAGGAGTACCTAAATACGTGACTGTCCTTCCCTCTTCCTCTCTTACCTTTTCACCTGGCCTTCCTCCCTGCCTCTCACCCCATCTTCGCTTTTTCCTTGTCTTGCTCCAGACTGGTGGAAGAATTTATGCTGCTGGCCAACATGGTGGTGGCCCATCGGATTTACCGCTCCTTTCCCACCCAAGCCCTCCTGCGCCGGCATCCCCCACCGCAGAGCAAGATGCTCCACGACCTCATGGCCTTTTGCAACCAGATGGGCCTGGAGATCGACTGCAGCAGTGCCGGCGCCTTGCACGTGAGTAAACGGCAGGAGCCAGAGGGGAGAAAAGTTTCTGGTTCCAAGGAGGCGCCTCAGATGGGCTCCTGCTGCATGGAGCCAAGGTCTGGAAGACTTTTTCCCCCCACGGAATCGGCTCTGTAAGGAAAGGGAGGGAGGAACCATGGGGTCCTCGATGCTCTCTGCGGTTGGTGGTTTTCTTGAAGATGGTTTCACGGCTCAGCTAGGTCAGGGCTGGAATGAAGTTGGTTTTGCAAGGAGAAAGAAGAGGAAGGCGGGGGGAGGAGGGTGGCGATTGTGCCTCCTTGGTGACTCCCTGAGCTTAGTCGTTTCCTTGCGCGAAAATCTATTTGAGCAAAATGTATATTGTTTACTTTTAGTGTTCATTTCTTGCCAAGCGACGTTTGCTCCGCTTCTAGTTCCCGTGTTTCTGTTCCTCTCTCCTTCTCCCAGAAAAGCCTGAATGAAACTTTTGGGAATGACCAATACAGCGACGCAAGGAAGGAGGTGCTGACCAACATGTTCTCTCGTCCCATGCAGGTAGGGAAGAGAGGGGGGCCACCCCAAATAACCCCTCCCTGCCCAGTTGGGGTATTGCAGTGCAGGCTGTGGAGGCTGCCTCTAAAGCAGGGGCGGGCTTCAAAAACGGCATAGCAACTAGTTGTCTGCCTGGTTGCTGGGTGGGGGTATGGCCATGGTGGGCGTGGCCTAGTTGGCCTCCTGCACCACGATGAGGGGGGGTGTTTTCTCCCTCCCTGGGCTCCAGAGGCTTCATTCGAGCCTCCAGGAGGGCAAAAACGGCCTCCCCGGGCTCCGGAGACGCTCTGGAAGCCGGAAACAGGCCCATTTCCGGCCTTCCCGAACTTCCGGGAAATGGGCCCGTTTTTCACCTTCCCCAAACCTTCACATGGGATCCCAAACGAGCCGCGTGAAGACTTCTGGGAGGGGTGGGTGGGACCAGCCGGTCGTTGTAACTCCCGGTTCACTGCACCAGGTTGTAAAATTAACATCTGGTTCACCCGAACCGGTGCGCAAAGAGCAACTGTTCTAAAGACCACTCAGAGGTATGGTTGGTGCAGAACCCAGTAGCCCCGAGTTAACTGGAAGGAGAGTGATATTGTTTAACAAATTTAAATTTCTTTTATTGATTAAATTTAAATTTTATGGATTAAATTTGAATGTTATTATACTAATTAAATTTGAATGTATTTTATTTTATTGATTAAATTTGAATTTATTTTATTTATGTACATTTGAATTTATTTTATTTTATTTATATACATTTGAATTTATTTTATTTTATTTTATTGATTAAGTTTGAATCTATTTTATCTTATTCATTGAATTTAAATTTATTTTATTTATTAAATTTAAATTTATTTATTAAAATTTTCAATGTATTTTATTTATTGAATTTAAGTTTATTTTGTTAAATTTACGTTTGATTAATTAAATTTGAATTTTATTTATTGATTGATTGAATTTGAATTTTATTGTACTAATTAAATTTGAATGTATTTTATTTTATTGATTAAATTTGAATTTATTTTATTTATATACATTTGAATTTATTTTATTTTATTTATATACATTTGAATTTATTTTATTTTATTTATTAAGTTTGAATCTATCTTATCTTATTCATTGAATTTAAATTTAAATTTAAAATTTAAATGTATTTCATTTATTGAATTTAAATTTATTTTGTTAAATTTACGTTTGATTAATTAAATTTGAATTTTATTTATTGATTGATTAAATTTGAATTTTATTGTATTAATTAAATTTGAATGTATTTTATTTTATTGATTAAATTTGAATTTATTTTATTTACATACATTTGAATTTATTTTATTTTATTTATTAAATTTGAATCTATTTTATCTTATTCATTGAATTTAAATTTATTTTATTTATTAAATTTAAATTTATTTATTAACATTTAAATGCATTTTATTTATTGAATTTAAGTTTATTTTGTTAAATTTACGTTTGGTTAATTAAATTTGAATTTTATTTATTGATTAAATTTGAATTTTATTGTATTAATTAAATTTGAATTCATTTTTTTTGATTAAATTTGAATTTATTTTATCTATGTACATTTGAATTTGTTTTATATCTATTAAGTTTGAATCTTATTTTATTCATTGAATTTAAATTTATTTTAGTTTATTTATTAAATTTAAATTTATTTTTATTTATTAAATTTGTTTGCCACCCATTTCACCCCAAGGGGGCCTAGGCTAATAGAGTTCTGGTTTATACCTTATTTTAAGTTATAAAGCGGAAGGTGTCCAACCTTGGTAACTTTAAGACAGTGGTGGGCTGCTGTTGGTTCAGACCGGCTCACCCGTACTGGTAGTTATGACCACCGGCTGGGCCTGCCCACCCCACCCCGGTGTTATCCCGTTCCATATATCTGGCTCACTCTCCTCACCCACGCAGCCCAGCGGCCTTCCGTGCCTTGCCCTTTCTCCTCACCGCAGCTGCCGCGCGCGGGAAATCTTGTTTTTGCAGCTGCATGCAAGCGAAGGAGGGGGGCACGCTCGCGCTCACATTTTCGCCGAACTGGTTGTTACAGTATGTGCAGCCCACCTCTGCTTTAATACCCGTGGACTTCAACTCTCAGAATTCCCCAGACAGCTATGCCGACATCCAGATCTCTTCCACGTTTCCGGGGATGGAGAGAGACCTCCGAGTATCTCTTCGCCACCTACCTTGCTAAAACTTGGCAGCTTTTTTCACCGTCAGCCATGCCAGAAACGCATCCATCTTCTTTCCCAACCTCATTGTTGGTCCCTCCTCTTTGCAGATGGCGGTCTATTTCTGCACTGGCGTGCTGAAGGACGAGAACCTCTTCCGACACTACGCCCTCAATGTGCCTCTCTACACCCACTTCACGTCGCCTATCCGCCGGTTTCCAGACATCGTGGTGCACCGGCTGCTCACGGCTTCACTGGGTGAGTTTCTTAGGATGATGGACGGGCTGGCTGGCTGATTGCCTCTAGGAAAGGATAAGGCAGCTTTAAGATCCGTGGACTTCAACTCCCAGAATTCCCCAGCCAGCATGGGGAAGACCATAAAGATCCTGATAGTATCACTGGATAGATTACTAGATTCCAGCCAGCCATGCAACTGTGAGCAGGCTGGGGAAAGTCATTCATTCATTTGTTCGTTCGTTCGTTCACTCATTCACTCCATCCATCTATGCATCCATCCATATATCCATCCCATCTTTATTATTTTTACAAATAATTCCAGGTGGCGAACATATCCAACGCACCTTCCTCCTTCTCTTTTCCCACACAACAACCGTATGAGGTGGGTTGGGCTGAGAGAGAGAGAGAGAGAGAGAGAGAGAGAAAGAGACTGGCCCAAAGTCACCCAGCTAGCTTTCCTGCCTAATATGAAACTAGAACTCCCATATCTAGTTCTAAGGTAGAACTAGCACTCACTCTCTCCTGGTGACTGGCCCAAAGTCACCCAGCTAGCTTTTCTGCCTAATATGGGACTAGAACTCCCAATCTCCTGGTGATTAGCCAAAAGTCACCCAGCTGGCATTCATGCCTAAGGTAGAACTAGAACTCACTCTCTCCTGGTGACTGGCCAAAAGTGAGCCAGCTAATTTCCCTGCCTAATATGGGACTAGAATTCCCATATCTAGTTCTAAGGTAGAACTAGAACTCACTCTCTCCTGGTGACTGGCCCAAAATCACCCAGCTAACTTTCCTGCCTAATATGGGACTAGAACTCCCAATCTCTGAGTGATTGGCCAAAAGTCACCCAGCCGACTTTCATGCCTAAGGTAGAACTAGCACTCACTCTCTCCTGGTGACTGTCCAAAAGTCACCCAGCTAGCGTTCCTGCCTAATATGAAACTAGAACTCCCATATCTAGTTCTAAGGTAGAACTAGCACTCACTCTCTCCTGGTGACTGGCCCAAAATCACCCAGCTAACTTTCCTGCCTAATATGGGACTAGAACTCCCAATCTCTGGGTGATTGGCCAAAAGTCACCCAGCCGGCTTTCATGCCTGAGGTAGAACTAGAACTCACTCTCTCCTGGTGACTGGCCAAAAGTCACCCAGCTAACTTTCCTGCCTAATATGGGACTAGAATTCCCATATCTAGTTCTAAGGTAGAACTAGAACTCACTCTCTCCTGGTGACTGGCCCAAAATCACCCAGCTAGCTTTCCTGCCTAATATGGGACTAGAACTCCCAATCTCTGAGTGATTGCCCAAAAGTCACCCAGCCGGCTTTCATG